TGGCATCCTGAGAAGAGTCGCACTAACAGTGGGAGCGGTGGAGGCGGAGCGAGCGACTCGAAACTTACACAGGTTGTATGTAAGCCTACCTTCCTCCTTATCGACTGTGCATTAACGCGGTGTAGAAAGGATGGGTTGGAAAGGCACAGGGTAAAGACCCCCATGCAGAAGCCGCCCGCGATCACCAGTCAGCACCACTGTCATCCCTGAAAGATCCCTCGCAGTTTGCTCCGCCGCCCAAGAGACTCGACTACAGCGGCGGTTCGGCAGCATCTGCACCATCCGGACCGTCATCTGCGCCTGCTGGGTCGGCAAAGCAAAGACTGCAGGAGCGAGAAGAGGCTCGGAGGAGGGAAGAGGAAGAAGCAAACAGACCAGCCCCAGGGCCATACCGACCCGACACTACGGGGTTGAGCACAGCGCATCTGCCCAAGCCTCCTGCGTTCAGACCTGGCGCTGCGACACCACCGACTGCAGGTGCCGCGAAACCAAAGCCCAGCCTGCCCCCACGGCCTCCACTACCACCGCGCCAGAACTCGAACCCCGATGAATTCGCACCAGCTCCTCCACCCACCTACAATGAGGCAACACAAGAGGCGAGGCCTGAGCAGGGGGTGTTGAACCAAGGTGCTCTGGGTCGCCTGGGCCAAGCAGGTGTCTCGGTGTCGGGCTTTGGTATCGGGCGAACAGCTTCTCCTCCAGTACCGCCTCGCGCAAACCCATCACCGCCCGTTCCTCCGCGACAGAACTCAGGCTCGAGAGCTGTCTTACCACCTCCCGCCCCGCCTAGTCGTGGCTCACAGATGAACGAGCTGCAGAGTAGGTTCGCAAGTATGTCTGGGCCAAAATCACCAGCAGCTCCCCCAGCCACTGGCACGTCGTGGGCAGACAAGCAGGCAGCACTGCGGACAGCTAGCAGTCTACGCGATGATCCGTCCAAGGTATCAGCTTCCGACTTGAAAGGAGCGGCATCAACTGCCAACAACTTCCAGCAACGGCACGGAGATCAGGTTGCGTCTGGGTGGAAGTCGGCCAACTCCATAAACCAAAAGTACGGCATTGCTGGCAAGATGAACAACTTCGCATCGGGGAGTGCATCCCCAGGCCCAGCGCAGTCGTCGTCGCAAGGTAGCGTGGGAGGCCTAGGAAAAAAGGCACCGCCTCCGCCACCGCCCAAGAAGAAGGAACTGAGCGACGGCTCGGGTGAACCGCCGCCGATTCCTCTGAGTAGCAAGCCGAAGTTTTGAGCGTATCTATCTTAGTCTACCCATAATCCAGAGATACCAGCTTGAATATTACCAGTGCATCTCCCACTATGATATGAAACCTGTTCCCCAGATGTGGCTGCGGCACGTCACCCTGCCTCTTCCCAGTTACGGCGTCGGTGGCTTTTGCTCCCAGATTTGCGCTTAGCCGGACCCTCAACAGGTTCACAGCATCCTTGCAGAAATTTTGCAGCATGCATTCCACCATCGCACGACGCAAGATGACGACCGCCTTTTCGTCGACAAGACGGGATGTATACTCGTGTTACCCCATGGCGTTAGACTTGCGAGCAGATGTAAATTCTAGATAAACTTCAAGAGGGTCTTGTCGAGGCGGGTGTCCAGTGGGAGGTGGTGATTATTCGCCTCGGTAGCTGGTCGCGACGCCATTGGCCCGTCACGCTCAGCATAACCAAGAGGGACGTCCAGAAGCCTTTGCCTGCTGCTTCTAGCTCCTTGTCCGACGCACCGTTACTGCATGCGTCCTCGCTCCGGGCATATCTGTGCACTTAATTCTACGATATAACCTGTGCGCCTTGCCCTGGGTTCGTGCGTGTACCCCGAGCCATACACCTAGTACACGTAGGTGGTATCGCGTGCGTAGCGAGAAACGAATAACAACACCACCAACTCTATCGCAGCTTTGCGCCGACGATAGGCACGCCCAGAGCTCCGAGGGCCGATTCCCGCGATAAAGTTTAGCACAACCGTTGGGCATTGACCTCATCGGACCACAGAAAAACCCCAGCGGCCCCCAGACCCTCTGCCTCTGCCGCACCCTGTTTGCGCCTGCCTGGCCAACACCTTCACCTCACCCACCACCCGCCCATTGAGTGCTGCCACCACCTGCCCCTCCAACCGCGCATCGTCTCCCGCCGCCACGCCCACCATGTCCGGCGCAGGCCCTTCCCTACACCCCGGCGACTGGCCGTCGAGGGCTGTCCTCCAGTTCCCTCCCGATGCCGCGCCCTCGCCCATTCCGCCGCCATGGTCGGGCGAGTCGACCTTCCAGAACCCCTTCCCCATCCCCGAAGACATCTACCAGGGCGCGCTGTCGTACAAGGTCCCGCTGACCATCGCCTCCGTCTATTTCGTGGCCGTGACGTACGTCAACTGGTACAACCGCCAGCACGGCAACAAGCCGTGGAGGATCGCCAAAACCCGCCCCTTCTACGCCTTTGTCATCTTCCACAATGTCTTCCTCGCCGTCTACTCGGCCGTGACGTGCGTGGCCATGATCCGCTGCCTCAAGCACTCGTTCCCCCACTACAGCGAGCCCAACGCCGTTGTCGGCACCATCGACGCCCTCTGCAAGATCCATGGCCCCCGCGGCCTGGGCGACGCCGTCACCTACAGCAACGTCAACGACAGCTGGAGCAGCCTCAACTCCAAGGTTCAGATCGGCTCCAACGGCCTGCCCGACACGACCGACGTTGGCAGGATCTGGAACGAGGGTCTTGCTTTCTGGGGCTGGTGGTTCTACCTCTCCAAGTTCTACGAGGTCCTTGACACGGCCATTATTCTCGCAAAGGGCAAGCGCAGCACTACCCTCCAGAAGTACCACCATGCCGGCGCTATGTTGTCCATGTGGGCTGGTATGCGCTTCATGTCGCCTCCTATCTGGATGTTTGCCACGGTCAACTCTGGAATCCACGCCATGATGGTAAGCAGTTCTTCTTCAAGTAAATGCCACCCACTAACTTTTTCAGTACACCTACTACACCGTCTCCGCGCTCGGCTACCGCGTCCCCAACATCGTCAAGCGAACTCTTACCACCCTCCAAATCACCCAGTTCCTCGTCGGATCCGCCTTCGCCGCTATCCACCTCTTCATCTCCTACACCGTCCCCGTTTCGGTCGCATACAAGGTTGCTGAGAAGGTCGCGCCCAAGGTGGTCTCATCCAGCGTCTCATCCGCAGTTGCCTCTGCTACAGAGTCGGTTGCCGAAGCTCTCCCCACCGTGACTGGTGTTGCTGTAGCCTTCCTCAGAAAGCTCATTTACCGCGCAGCTGGCGATGAGGGTCTCGCAGAGAACATCCCCGTCCCTGGCCAGCCCATCCCCGTCCGTCAGCCCCAGCAAGTCATTGCCGGAGAGCCTGCCCCCACCCACAACGCAGTCCACGACTTCTTCCACCCCCACGAGACAGTCGAGAAGACCTTCTACCGCACCGAGTACCAGACCGTTCCCTGCGTCGATACCTCGGGCCAAGCCTTTGCCATCTACGTCAACCTGATCTACCTCGCCCCGCTGACCATCCTCTTCATGCGCTTCTTCTTCAAGTCGTACCTCCGCCGCTCCACCCCCAACTCCAAGCAGAACTTCAAGCACCGCACCATCTCCGACGCCGCCGGCGACGCCAGCCGCAACGTTGAGCGCGAACTCGACTCCCTCGACAAATCCGCCGAAGACGCCATCTCCTCAGGCGTGAACCGCGCTAGAGACGCCGTCCGCGGAAGGAAGCCCGCAAACGGCCACATCAAAGACGAGCGCAAGGGCAGCATGTCCCCCGCCAACCAAAAGTTCCTCGAAAACGTAAACCGCCGCGTGAGCCAGAAACTGCAGGAGCTTGACGAGGGCGCCGATGCGACCAGCAAGAAGGCTAGGCAGATTGCTAAGGAGCTTGTTGGAAAGGCTGAGGCTGCCGGCGAGAAGGTCGAGCAGGCGTATGAGGATAACGAGGAGGATGTCAAAGAGAAGGAGAAGGAGAATGCGAATGGTAACAAGGAGAAGATGGACCGGAACCGTAGTCCGAGCAAGTTGCCGCGTAAGCAGCAAAACAAGAAGAATGGCCCGAGTGACGAGCAGGTCGCTAAGCCGGAGAAGGAGGCTGAGCCTAAGGATTTGAAGAACACGCTTGGGGAGAAGGATGGTAAGGGTCTTTTCTAGATGAAACAGAAATGTTTTATCTAGGTGGCCCAGTGCACCAAAGCCACAATCAGGCTCATTCCTGTGTTAAGCAGCATGCCGACTTCGGCTTCACGCTGTCTCTCCTGCCCCTAGGGCTGGAAAGCAAATTTTTCCTAGGCGCTCTGTTATAGATCGCGAGATATCCGGTCACACATGTATCTGTATCTTGCTGTGCTTTGAGGGAATTGATGTTCACCGGAACATTTATACACAACTAAAAGCTGGGAGGAAAGGTATATCCAAATGTACGAGAGATGATGGAACTGGGAAGGAAAGGATAGGGAAGGAATGGAAAGGAATGGATGGCGTAGGCTATGGAATCTAAATTTTTTATTTCTTCATCGTTGCTTCATGCTTGATACTTTGAAGGTCGTGATTGTCCATACTGACATGTGATTATTCCACGCCACATTTCCCTCGATGGTTGCTCTTTTGACTTTCAAAACTGTGGTTTGGAGGGACTAGCTGACGGATCACTCGAACACTCGCTCGGTGCGTTCCTTATTTCATCACTCCACGACACAGGGTGTATGGGAGACGGAGGGGAGGTGGTGGTTGTCATCGCTACGAAGTTGTTATGATGTGATTTCCAGCACATTCACTCTGCTGCCTCCACTCACCCGGTGATGGAATGTTCTGCAGAGGGGTGGCGTAGCTATGAAATCGACTTCTTGTTTGTTTCTTCATTGATGCACTTGATACTTGATGTTTGATACTTTGGTATTGTTGCCTTCCAAGCAATGATTGTAAAGGCTGTGACGCGTATTTCATCGCTACATCGCTCGCTCGGTCCGTTCCTTATTGCTTCTCCAAGACACGCCCGATATTATCTAATACCCCCCATCCCTCCTCCACCTCCACCCATACTCATCCCCATCCCCATAACTCCCCCACCCAACTCCAGCACCTCCTCCCTCCTCCTCCTCTCCTTCTTCTCCCTCCTCACCATCTCCCTCATCCCTCCCGCCCCTCCAGCTCCTTCTATCCTCGCCGTCACACCCTTATGTCCCTGCCCCCCACCACCACCGCCTCCCTTAAACCCGTCTTCGTCGTTGCGAGCAAAGATTTGTAAGCCGCGCAAATGCGTATCCTTGCCATTCTGGTGATTCTCCAATATCTTGATTTGAACCAGATGCGCTCGCAGCACAGGTAGCCGTGGGGTTGAGAAGGTATTGCTGGGAGCGGGGCGGGGTGCGGGGTTGGGTGAGAGAGAGGCGAAGGGTGCGCGGGGGTGGGGACGAGGGAGGGTTTGCGGTTGTGTTTGTTGTGTTTGAGGGGGGATGGGGGTAGATGGGGGATGGTTTTGGGTGGTGGGTGTGATGGTGGGGTTTGGGTGGAGGTTTGCGCGGCGGGTGCGGGTGCGGGTGCCTGGTGGAGGGGGTTGTGACTGTTGGCTGGGTTGGCTGGGTTGGCTGGGTTGGGGTGTGTCGTATGAAGGATACGGAGGTATAGGCGTATCTTGCTGTCCTGGAGTTTGCATATCCAGATCCCCTCCTTGGCCCGGCGCCGCGTTTTCAGAATCAGAAGATGCGTCGTTGCCTCCTCTTCTCCCGTTCAGGTGCAAGGCGTCTGTGAGGAGACGTTGTGGCCGTTCGCCTGCGTTTCCTCCTCCATCACCTTCTTCGTCGTCGTCGTCACCACCCTCATCATCACTATCCGGATCTCCTACCCCCGAGAAATCAGCCCAGATCCATCCCCGCGGACTCTCCAATCGCATCTCGCCCCATTCCTGGAGGTCGTTCAGCCCGCTGCCAGCGAGGAAGATGATCTTTGTGGGCGTATAACTCTCGTCTTGTTCAAAGTCGAGGTACAGTCTCAATCCCACAATACGGACGAGTTTGAAGAAATGGATGTTGAGATAGTGAGGCTGTGGTCCATCGGATTGCCAGAAGAGGTTCGTATTTGGGTGCCGCAGTTGGGGAATGGAACAGCCTGGTTTAGAAGAAGAGACGGTCCAGGATGCTAGGGTGGAGATTTCGCGGAGGTAAGGTGGGGGAGGGTCGAGGTTGGGTAGACTGTCCGAGGGAAGGTTTGGGGATACGAGACCATCTTCTGAACCGAGTTCTTCGTCACCTTCGTCGTCTTCTTCTTGGTCTTCTTCATCGCCTTCGAGGCCGATTAGGTCGTCGCCAAGGGTTTCGTCGTCGTCGGCGGCGGAGGCATCCTGCTCTTCTTCTTCGACATCTTGGCGACCGTCTAGTTCTGCGTCGCTGGATGTGTCTTGGGCTTCTGGTGGTGAGGGCGGGGGCATACGATATTGGTGTGCTTGGCCTCCTCGTCGGCGAAGTGAAGGCGGCATGCTGATCTTCGCTTCCTCAAGTGCTGTAAAGGGACGCTAGATTGACGTCACGGGGTGCAGGATGCAAGCTCCGGGGGAGCGTGACTAGGGCCCGTGGCGACAGCAAGCAGGGGTGAAGCGTGTCTGAAAAGGGTCTGGAGTGTGCTGTATGGCTGCCCTGACCGGACACCTCAGGCAGCTTCCGTGCAAACCTTCGTTCGCAAGTCGCGACTACTCCCGCACCTGTCGTCTGTCTAGGCTCGCCTCGGTCCACGGGTATCTGGTATTTGGGATCGTGGCGTCCCTGGCTAAGGCGAATGTGGCAGACCGTGCGGACGAGTGTTGATCACTCACGTGCATGCGAGCCAGGTACCCAACCGGACGCAAACAGTGCGAACCCAACTTCAGTGTCGATATATTGATGAAGCGGCGATACTCTCCGGTGTCCAGGCTTGCTCTTGGTGGCCGGTATGGTTTCTTTTTCTGCCGTTTGCTTCGTGCTGCTTTCTCCGCCAGGGTCATGTTTGCTTGTTTGCGATGGAAGCAGGACTGAAACTGGAAATCGGAAGGTCCAAGCGTCGGGGAGATCACCAATCCCGAGGCCCCTCTCCCTTTCAGACCCACCCTGTGCCTGACACTACCCTCAACGCCCCCCCACCAACTCCCCCGCACACATACTGTATGTTTCGCGTCCGCTTATAATCGTCTGGCTGCATACTTGCCATGCATGCACTCCTAATCCAGTGTCGGAGAAGACCCCGTAGAGCCCAACATGCGGCGGCAACGCTAGCCATCGTCCCCGCAGCGCCGCTCTCTACACTACGAGTAACGATAGCTCAAGGTTCGGATTCGCCTCAGCCGTCAGATTAGAGTTTTGGATGCAGCTCCAGAGCTCCTCACAGGATGGAGAAGGCCGCCGGTGGGCAATAGTCTACTGGGAACTTGATAGACTGGCTGGGCCGCTGTGCATGCTACTACAAGCCATAGTCGACCAAACTCGACTCAACATAATGATGCGCGATACTAAACCGGTTCTTCCCTCAGATGCAGGTCCCGCCGTTTCTTGTTGTATCTTTCTCATGAACGACCATACGTTGCTCTCTTCGAGCAACACGCTACTCTCGTTTGATACCACTGCGCAACGTTGCTTTCTGTCAGCTTGACATCGGTCTTGCTCTCGACATCGACACCATGGTGCACAGCTCAGCCGACCTGGCGATGGCCGCCGAACAGCAACAACGGATTACCATTGCCTTCCTGGCTGTATCCTGGATCTTCATTCTACTCAGGATATGGACTCGCACATGTATCATCCGTAGCTTTGGCTGGGACGATGCTGTCATGTTGCTTGCCGGTGTAGGTTCTTCTCACTCCTGCCGAATGATCAATGACTAACATCATCAGTTGACGTTCACTTTGTTCTGCGGATCAGTTTGGTTGGTTGAAGCATCTGGCGGAACCAGCGAGATTACCAGCGCGGACGAGTTGCAGAAGGTGACAAAGGTACGTATCCTGACTCTGTACTCGCAAACCCTCGCTCACAATTGTAGTGGGTGCTTGTAAGAGAGGCCGGCTATTTGATGGCTATCATGCTGGTCAAAATTTCTCTGGCCATATTCTTCTCCCGCATCGTCGTCAGGCGCAGCCACTTCATCATCATCTACGTCACCGTCGCTGCCAACATTGTGTCATCAATGTCTGCATTCTTCTATGTCATCTTCCGATGCGGACCCAAGTTGGAGAAGTACGCAGTCAACGAGATCCTCGGTCGCTGCTCATCGCGGCAGGTCGATTACTTCTTTGCCTATCAACAAGGTATGTGGCGCAAACGAATCGTCTACACACAAGCTTATGGGGTACTCCGCAGCGACTTTCAGTACATTGACAGACGTCGTCTTCTTCCTACTGCCCATCCCCATTGTATGGTACGCCAACATGGATCTGCGGCACAAGTTCTCCGTCGGCTTTATCTTATCCCTCGCAGCTCTGTACGTCCCCACCACAGCCACTTTCAGATTGTCCTACTAATAAAATACAGTGGCTGCATCTGCTCTGGAATCCGCTTCCCCTACATAACCGGTCTAACAGAACTCGAAGACTTCTTCTGGGACGTGACCAACGTGTCCATATGGAGTACCGTCGAATGCGGCACATGCATCATCTTAGGCTGCATGGCAACCCTCCGTCCACTCATGAAGATGGGAATCTCAAGAGCCCGGGACATGACGACCAGAGGCGGCAGCAGGAGCGGCACAATGAAGAGCACGCGAGCATCTCCACGAACAACGAACCACTCCCTGTCCCAACTCAACTTGCAGGCTACGCCGCAAAATAATCTTCTACTCGCGGAGCTGGGCATACAATACAACGGTATCGAAAAGAAGACTTCTTCATCACCAAAGCTGGAATCGACGTACGAAGCAAAGACTATAACGCGACCGAACACCGCAGCAACACCTCTTCCATCGGATATGGGCTACACGAAACGCAGCAGCGCCGACCCCATCCTCGCTCGCACCTCATCCGACGCAACAGACCTACCTCTATGGAAGGCGCCAGAGGAGAAGAAACCACGCCAACCGTCGCGTCTCAGCCTCAGTCGCGCGCTACTGCACCGCAGCCGGCCTACGAGCGAAGACGTGAATTATGCTGGACCCTTGTCCCATCCTATCTCGCCGCCGCCGACATATAGGGATGCGGGGGATGCGGTTTGAAACACAACACACTACTGGACATTGTACATATACACTGACACGACCGTAACGACGCTACGCCTTTCCTTTCATTCAGTTCATTCAGTCGACAGACAAAAGATCAATCCATCAATCGTTTGATGAGGATAAAAGAAAATCAGTTTGATACCCCAATGTATTTTTAGCCAACCCAGAAGACGTCGGATTTAATAACTACGACTGCCAAGACAGTTTTCTCAGCCAAGTCACGACGAAGGTTAGCGTTGACAAAGCCAGTGGCATTGCTGCTCATGTCAGCAATGCCACTGGCTTTGTAAACGCTAACTTCCGTCGTGATTTGGCTGTGATGCATTTTGTACAAAACATATAATCATAACTTTCTTGGCCTTTCACCCTGATCACCAATAACCCCACATCCTGGTCACCTATCTCCCACCCATAAACTCAGGCTTAAACGCCTTAACACCCCCCGCCTTCATCAGCTCCCTCAACGCCATGGTCGCATACTGGCTACTCGCCAACTGCAACTTGATCACCACAGCAATCTTCTCCTCTTCCACTTCTTCCTTCTCCTCTCCATCTTCCATCTGCGCATCCGCACCCTCCTCTTTCTTCTCATCGTCTTTGCCCGCCGCATCCTTCTTCCCACCAGCCCTCTCGCGACCCAATCTCTGCAGATCTGTTTGAACAAACTGCTCATCCACCTTCCTATAACTCCTCACCTCAAACTCAAGCGGTTGGAGTGGTTTCGCCAAAAACTTCCTATACCCCCCACTCAAACTAACCTCCCTCCAACTCCTGCGCATATTATACGGATCCAACCCCCCACCCTTCTCACTCCCCATAAACTCCTTATAAAACTCTCCAATCTCATTTCTAGGATACTCGACATCAAACCCCGGTTGCGGGAGCACAACATCCCAGATACTATACTCCCCACTCGCCACTTCAGCCGCAGTAAGCGGACGCGCGCGCTCGAAATCCGCGTCGGGCGCAAGCGAAGAATCGTTGCCGGAGGGATCAATAATGGGTTCGCCGTCTTGGTCATGGGTTGCTTTTGGTATCTTCTCCGTGCTACCCGTTTCTTTGTCGCGGTGTTCGTTTACGAGGACGAGGTCGCCCGGTACGACTTTATCGCCGTGGGTGCTCCAGCGTTTGCCGGCTACGCTGTTCCAGACGAGAGATTGGTAGGCGTGGACGTACATCAGACGCAGCGTCCGGGGTATTGTCATGAGCGCGCCTTGCCAGTCTGTTTTGCGGTCGTAGCGGCCTGATTTACTGTTGCGCGAACTGAGATGTTGGATTATATTCCTTTCGGCTGTGAATTTGCGAGGGAGGAAGTCGAGGGCTTCGGTGCCGGAGCCTTTGGTTTTCCAGATGTGCAGAGCGTGGGCGCGGTTGCGGTCGTCTTGCGAGACTAGGGTTGTGGACTCGGACGGGTTTAGGGCGGCGGCGAGGGCGGTGTCGCTGTATGCGAGGAGGTCTTCGACGGCGCCTTTGAGGTCGTCTTGTAGCATCTTGCGGCCGATGGCGTCGGTGCTGGCGGCGAAGGAGCCGAAGCGTTGGAGGCCGTAGTAGTTGATGAAGCCTTTTTGGGAAAAGTCGGTGATGGCTTTGCTGACTACGTCGTGGGCCAATTTACTTCGCTGAGCAAAGTCTAGTCCTTCTTCGCTTTGGAAATGGCAGTCGCGGAGGGTGATGGTGAATTCGTTGCCCATCAGGTCTCCTAGCTTCAGGTCGTTGTGGCGGTACTCAAAGTCTCCTACGGCGGCATTGAACAGGATCTTGTTGAAGTTCTGGATGCGCTGGGCGAGTTGGCGCTTGACGCAGACTCTTTGGACGGTGCATGCTCGTCTATCTTTTGTGCCTGCGAAACCGAAGCCCTTGGCGCCGCAGTTGAGCTTGCTTCCTAGGAACCCTACAACTTCCATTGTATCTTTGTTTTCCTTGTACAGGTTGAAGTGCAAGTATTCTCCACCAAGCTCCTCCCAATCTTGACCTCCTCGTCGGCCTCCCTGGTTCTCGCGATCCTTTGCGCCGCCCTTGCCTTTCTTCTTTTTGCGCTCCGCTGGTGGAGTCGCCTTGATGCGTATAGTCTGGTTCTCCTCCATCGCGCTCTCGAGGAGGTTGGGAAAGATCCGACGTAGACTCTGGTGAGCTTGGGTGCGCTTATCTTTGTCGGTTATGGGCGACGATATGACGGCTTTGAAGTCTTTCGCCTTTCGCGATTCCTTTCTCCGTACTTGTCTGACAAGTTTTACGATCTCGTCGGTAGTCTGTTCGCCGAATATCGAATGTAGTGTATTGCGATCTTCTTCCGGCAACTGT